AGCTCGCTGGCGTGCTGTGGGCGCTACAGACGTACGCGCCTAGAATCCGGAAGAAACACACGTGCTAGTGCGGGTGGACAACCAGGGCGTGTTCTTCATCCTTCGCAAAGGAGGTTCCCGAAGTCCCGACCTCACCACCACGTGCAAAGGCATCATCCAAAAATGCATGGAGTTCGAGATTCGGCTAATCATCGAATGGATCCACGCGATCTGAATGGTCGCGCAGACGAGCTCTCCAAGCTAGTCGACCGCGATGACTACTCGTTGAAGTTCCCATGGTTTCGCCTCCTCGAGCGTTGCTGGGGGCCCCACTTCGTTGACCTATTCGCCAACCCCAAAATGCACACCTGCCGCGTTTCTGCTCTAAGGTCCCCCACCCCGATGCCACAGCAGCCGACGCCTTCTCACTTGCCTGGACGGCTGAGAACAGCTTTGCATTCCCACCGCCCCAACTCATCCCCGCAGTACTCCATCACGCACAACGCACGAGCGCATCTCTCACCCTCATAGTCCCACACTAGCCTGGCGCAAGCTGGTGGCCGCTCCTCCAGCCCTCCCCTCCATCGTGGGACCCACACATCCAAGCACATATCCCTCTTACACATGGCAGCCAGTGTCTTACAGTCGGCACACATAGTCAAGCATTCTCAGGCACAGGATTACCCAACAGCACTATCGTCGCACTCCGCGTGATATTTGACTAACTGGACTCCCTTGCCTGTCCCCAGATCTGCTTCCAAAGCTCCAACATGACCTGCTTTCCATGCTCGCCCGCTCTCGTGCCGACTCGACCATCCGAACATACGAGCCTTATTGGGTGAAGTTCCGCGCCTTCTGCATGAAGGTCAACCTAACGTTCTTGCCGGCATCGGACATGACCCTCGCGCTCTACCTTGTGTATGTCATCCAACGCAAGGCTACCTTGTCGGTGGTTCAGCTCACATGCTCCGCCGTGAGCTTTGCCCACAGGATGACAGGCTCAACATGCCCAACCACCGGCCCTTTCACCTCCCAAGTGCGCGACTTCGCGAAGCGACACTGCCCGCGCCCTAACAGGATTAAAGAGCCAGTCTCACTCCATCAGGTCCACGATATGGCAGCCTCCTTCCTACAGTCAACTAACCCAGCTGTGTTCCAAAAAGGACTGATCCTGATTCTCATGTACGCCGGTTTCTTGCGCTACTCGGACCTGGTGGCCATCCAATGGCAGGACATCCAATTTAAAGATGAAGCGATGTGGCTACTCATCCCCCACTCAAAAACTGACCAAGCCGGCCAAGGCACATGGATCCCTATCGCGGCAAGCCCCGGACCCTTTTGTCCGGTCCAGGGCACCCAGAGGCTCATCCAACTCGCAGGATACAGCCTCCAGTCCTTGGGACCGCTCATCCGGGTCTTCGGACCCCACCTACCGAGCCACGGCACAGCCAGACCGCCCTCATACACCACAATCCGCAACTGGTGCAAGGAAGCCTTCGCGAAAATCGGTCTGGGAGAAGAGCACCTCGGCACCCACTCCTTTCGGAAAGGCGCGGCCACGGTTGCTGCCAACTCCGGGGTTCCTGACAGGATCTTCAAACGCCTGGGCCGTTGGCGTAGTGAAACCGCGAAAGAGATGTACATCACGCCGCGACCGATCATCTGGTTGGCGCGTCTCGACGCCTGCAAGACCCGGCGGCGGCACCATCCTCTGCACAACACGCTGAGGCACTTCTCCGCCACCGCAAGCCCCACTGCACATGTCTCAACGACCCCACTTGAAATGAGAACGATGCCTATTGCAAAGGACAAGAAAGCAAGATTTCTCAATATTATAATTTTTAACACACGTAGTGTTTTTCAAAAATAGTGTATTGTGAAAGCGAAGCTGATTGTACTGAAGCGTTGGGCATCGTCGAAGCACGCTACTCGCCCTTCTCCAACTACATATACGTGGGTTGGAGCTCATTTACCTCCACCCACGTCTCTCATTTTTCAAACGGCTCAGTCAACTTTCCCACCCACCCCCCCTCTAGACAATCGCCCATCTCCAATTGACAGCCGGTCACTTGAACGGGAGCGCACAACTAGGATCATAATGTGTGCATGTTTAGATTCTTATAAGCTAGTAAGCGACTATTGTACCATGCCACTTGAAATGAGAACGATGCCCACTTGAAATGAGAACGATGCCTATTGCAAGGACAAGAAAGCAAGCTTTATCAATACGTATGATTGTGAAGACGGACCTGCACAAGTCCCAAGTTTCGGCTATGCTTGTCCTTTGCTGAGTTCGTCTTCACTGCCTGTGCAATCATAGCGTGCAGTTTTTTTCTGCACCTGGTCCCGCAACTTCGTCCGGTAGTGATCCTTGATGAACACCAACTTCACATTCACCTCCGGACCGGACACGGAAAGTACCACAGGCGTATCGTGTAACCACATCTGTAACCCACACGATGCTTGCCATGCTGGTAACCAGCTTCCAGCCCTACTTCTCTGTGGCACCCACACTGCCCCGTGTCTGCCACCTCCGCCCCTTCCTTGGCCTCCTCCTCCCGTTGCTTCTTCCCAAACCTGCCCGTCCCGCACACGCGGGCCAGCATCTCCAGCTTGTTGTCCCTGCCGTATGCCATGCCTGGCGTGATGCCCAAGGGGCAGCCGTAACAAATATGGGATACAAACCAAGGGGAGAATCACTTTTTAAAGCACACCATATCTGACAGTGCGAGCAGTGAGCACCACACCCAATAGGCAGTCCGTTTTCAGACCTCTCTCCCGCCCTCTCCCCCGTACCCTCTCCCCGTACCCTCTCCCCCGTACCCTCTCCCCGTATCCTCTCCCCTGTAACCCTCTCCCCCGTACCCTCTACCCCATACCCTCTCTTCACGGCTTACCTCTCCCCCGTACCCTCTCTCCCGTACCCTCTCTCATGGCTTACCTCTCCCCCGTACTCTCTCTCATGGCTTACCTCTCCCCCATACCCTCTCCCACGGCTCTCCTCCTTCAAGCACTCTGTTGGTGGCATTGGGGCTGCTGGTCATTGAGTCAACTGAAAAGACAGCAGAGGGACGGCTTAAACAAAACCTCACACCACCCCATCTCCCTTCTCTCTCCACCCCCCCTTCTCCCTCTTCCTCCCGCTCTGCCTCCCCCTCCGTCTCCCCTCCCACTCTTCCTCCCCTCCCCTCCCCCCACCCCTCCCTCCGTCCCCCTCCCACTCCCCCCCCCCTCTCTCTCTCAGTCACACCCATCCCCCTCCCCCCCAGGAACATTACCTGGCTCTCGAGCAGGAGGGCCCCTAAAGCCACCACACTTCCACCTCTCACCACCGCCGCAGCTTCCTCCCTCTCTACCTTCCTGGTAGCGGTGCGGCGAGTCCCCGCTGTAAACCACCTGGCTCTCGTGCAGGTGGGGGGCATAGCGACGCAGGTCTCTGTAGCGCGACGAGGCGTTGAGCCACGCTGGAGACTGCGGCTCGTACACACGGTACATGGGCACCTGGGGGGCACGCGGCATAGAGTACGGGGCATGGGTATGGGGCATGAGGATGGGGGCACGGGGCATGCGGCATGCAGTATGCAGCATGGAGCTATGGGACAGGAGTATGAGGCATGGGGCATGGGGCATGGAGTCTGATGCACGGGCATGGAGTCTGATGCATGGGGCATGGAGTCTGATGCACGGGGCATGGAGTCTGATGCATGGGGAGTCTGATGCATGGGGCATGGAGTCTGATGCATGGGGCATGGAGTCTGATGCACGGGCATGCTGCATGGGGCATAGGGCACAGGCATGCTGCATGGGGCATAGGGCACAGGGCATGCTGCATAGGGCATAGGGCACAGGGCATGCTGCATGGGCAGAGGGCACGGGGCATGCTGCATGGGGCATAGGCACAGGGCATGCTGCATGGGGCATAGGGCACGGGCATGCTGCATGGGGCATAGGGCAAGGGGAATGCTGCATGGGGCATAGGGCACAGGGGCATGCTGCATGGGGGCATAGGAACAGGGCATGCTGCATGGGGCATGGTGTTACAAATAGACGGCAAATACAACTTTTGTGCTTGTACTTTTTATATCCTAGTTTAGGTTATGAATGTTCTAGTGGGTTCGGGTGTACTCACAAAATCCAAACCTCACCCAATTGTGATCCCCAATCTCCAATTACCCAATTGGAGATTCCGGAGATCCCCAATGGGGATTCCCTCCAATTCCCCCTTCATCAATTCTCTCTCACCTTGCCATGTACTTATAGAGCCTTGGGCTCCTTACCTAATCAACCATTTCAACTCTATTTCTTATATGGTATCAGAGCGACCTATCCGCACACGCGGATCAAGGTCCTAATCATAACGTAACCCGCGCTACGCACACTTCATCGTCGTGACAATCGTCTCGAGTCGTCGGAACTTCGACGTGCTCCAATCTGCAGTCGCGCCTCTCATCGTCGACCGCCTTCGCGCTCGACCTCGTTGAAAGTTTCTCATCTCTGAAGCTTTCACGCTTCTCATTGTCGATTTCCTCCTCGGTTCTCCTTGGTCGAATCTCAATTTCGACCATCTCTTAAAACTCATTCTCGAGTTTCCCCTCAGATCCCGCCAGAATAGGCGAAACTCCCATCGCAAAATCGCCTCCACAAACGTCACGCGGTCAAGCAAGAGCAGGTACACAGGTTGAAGCGGAGCGGAGCTGGTTGCGGAGATGGTTGCGGAGCTGGTTGCGGGGCTGGTTGCGGAGCAGTGTAGCTGCGGGACAGGGCCTAGGGGTGTGTGGGGGGGTGTGTGGGTCCCGGGGTTAGACATAGTCTCAGATTCAGTTTCAAGTCGGCGTTTTAACGAATTATCGCCGACGCCCTTTCCTACTTAGCGACATTTTGATGAAGCCGTCAGAGTGATTTTCAGCAATTCTCGTCGACCAATTTCCAGAAGTGCCGCGCTGCACACCGGCAATGGCTTACTCAACCACTTCACTCGCCAACCCGATCCCGCTCCTTCGTCTCGAGCCGGACGGTACAATGCTCCAACTACAAAGGCTTGGGCTATGGTGTCGACAAGCACCTCTCAGTCGCGAGGTGAAGGGGCTCGAGCTCACCGACGTCCTTCTCAACATCGGCGACGGCAAAGAGCCTCCTAAAACCCGAGAGGTCCGCCGATCCAGCTAATGCCGCCGCCGAAGCAGTTTATGCTGCTGCACTGCTCAAGTACAAGAATTGGGAGAAGGCCGATGGTGCGGTCATTAGTGTCTTCATGGGCACCACTCCTCTCGAACTCGTCGAAACCTACACAACTACCCGTCTGCCAACGCCATTTGGCTCTACCTCGAAGACCGCTTCCTGAACAAGACTGCAGTGGGAGTTGCTATACTCATCCCCAGCATGTTCCAAGTGCGGCTCGAGGACTCGCCAGGCATGGCGGACTATGTCAGCAAGGTGCAGTCCATTCATGGTGAACTCAAACAGTTGGGGATAGTCTTCCCCCGAGCAAGCCCCTGCAGCCGCTCTCCTAGTCGGCCTCACTCCGGCATACGAAGTCACACGCAAGATGCTCTTGGGCCTTGCTCCTGTAGACCTCACATTTGCCAAGGTCTCATCCGCGCTCCTTTCTGCCGAAAAGGACAACAGCGCTCAAGCCAAGGCCAATGCAATCCGCGCTCCCGTGCCTCAAGCCTATGCCGCTTCGGTGCCATTCCAGCACAACCGCTTCCCCCCGTGTCCTACGTCATCAAGCGCGGCCCTCGTGCTGGCTAGGTGTGTGGCGGCACCAACCACGCCCTTGCCTCCTGCTTTAAGAAGAAGGATGACGAGTGGTATGCCGTCAATGGTATCCATGTTTAGGTTATGAATGTTCTGATGGGTTGGGGTGTACTCACAAATCCCAACCTCACCCCAATTGTGATCCCACCAATCTCCAATTACCCAATTGGAGATTCAGAGATCCCAGTGGGGATTCCCTCCAATTCCCCCTTCATCCATTCACTCTCACCTTGCCATGTACTTATAGAGCCTTGGGCTCCTTACCTAATCAATCATTTCAACTCTATTTCTTACATGGTATCAGAGCGACCTATCCACACACGCGGATCAAGGTCCTAATCTGAACGTGCCCGTGCTACGCGCACTTCATCGTCGCGACATTCGTTTCGAGTCGTCGGAATTTCGACGTGCTCCACTCTGCAGTCGCGCCTCTCATCGTCGACCGCCTTCGCGCTCGACCTCGTTGAATTTCTCATCTCTGAAGCTTTCACGCTTCTCATCGTCGATTTCCTCCTCGGTTCTCCTTGGTCGAATCTCAATTTCGACCATCTCTTAAAACTCGTTCTCGAGTTTCCCCTCAGACCCCGCCAGAATAGGCGAACTCCCCTCGCAAATCGCTCCACCAACATCTCGCGTCAAATCAAGAGCAGGTACACAGGTTTGAAGTGGACGGAGCTCGTTGCGGAGCTGGTATGCGGAGCTCGTTCGGAGCTGGTTGCGGAGCTGGTTGCGGAGCTTGGTTGCGGAGCTGGTTGCGGAGCTGTGTAGCTGCCGGGACAGGGCCTGGGGTGTGGGGGGGGTGTGTGGGTCCGGGTTAGACATAGGCTCAGATTTCAGTTTCAAGTCGGCGTTTTTAACGAATTATCGCCGACGCCCTTTCCTACTTAGCGGCATTTTGATGAAGCCGTCAGAGTGATTTTCAGCAATTCTCGTCGACCAATTTCCAGAAGTGCCGCGCTGCACACTGACAATGGCTTACTCAACCACTTCACTCGCCAACCCGATCCCGCTCCTTCGTTCGAGCCGGACGGTACATGCTCCAACTACAAGGCTTGGCGCTATGGTGTCGACAAGCACCTCCTCAGTCGCGGAGGTGAAGGGGCTCGAGCTCACCGACGTCCTTCTCAACATCGGCGACGGCAAAGAGCCTCCTAAACCCGAGAGGTCCGCCGATCCAGCTAATGCCGGCCGGCCGAAGCAGTTTATGCTGCTGCACTGCTCAAGTACAAGAATTGGGAGAAGGCCGATGGTGCGGTCATTAGTGTCTTCATGGGCACCACTCCTCCCGAACTCGTCGAAACCTACCACAACTACCCGTCTGCCAACGCCATTTGGCTCTACCTCGAAGACCGCTTCCTGAACAAGATGCAGTGGGAGTTGCTATACTCATCCCCAGCATGTTCCAAGTGCGGCTCGAGGACTCGCCAGGCATGGCGAACTATGTCACCAAAGGTGCAGTCCATTCATGGTGAACTCAAACAGTTGGGGATAGTCTTCCCCGAGCAAGCCCCTGCAGCCGCTCTCCTAGTCGGCCTCACTCCGGCATACGAAGTCACACGCAAGATGCTCTTGGGCCTTGCTCCTGCAGACCTCACATTTGCCAAGGTCTCATCCGCGCTCCTTTCTGCCGAAAAGGACAACAGCGCTCAAGCCAAGGCCAATGCAATTCGCGCTCCCGTGCCTCAAGCCTATGCCGCTTCGGTGCCATTTCCAGCGCAACCGCTTCCCCCCGTGTCCCTACGTCATCAAGCGCGGCCCTCGTGCTGGCCAGGTGTGTGGCGGCACCAACCATGCCTTGCCTCCTGCTTTAAGAAGAAGGATGACCAGTGGTATGCCGTCAATGGGACCGCCCTCCAAGCCGCCAAGCTGGATGGTCAAATCGTGCTCCTCGCCAAGTCAATCAAGTCGAAGCGCAGGAATCCGTGCAGGCTGCTGTGGCTGCACGTGCTGATGTGCACCTCAACATGTTGTTCCCTGGCACTGCCATGATTAATGAGACGATTTCGCCAGTATCCTGGCTCACAAAGCACCTCAGCCACAATAGAGTTCACCCTCGACAGTGGGGCCACTCACATGGTTCTCAAGGAAGAAACACTCCTTCAAGCCATACGAGACACCAATCCGTCTTCTTGGAGCAAACTCCAGTTTCACAACACACGCCAAGGGCTCCTCCACAGTTCCGTGCCCCAGCTTTTCCTTCGGGCAGTGTGACTGGCATGTGTGTTCCCACACTACGCCACAATCTCGTGGCCCAACACGAGCTCCAATAGGCAGGCGTCACCACTATCTTCCCAGCACACTCGGATCACTGTGACCTCTTCGACCCTAAGTCCAACAAGCTCCTAGCACGCTTCACACTCAACAGTAGCAAGCTCTACACGCTGCGTTCACCTGCCACCTCTCGTCGCCCTCTCTCCAAGCGCAAGCTGCCAGCACCACTCCGTGTTCGTGTCGCAGCTTCGCCAACCCAACCATTCCTCTACCACCATCGCTTGGGTCACCCCAACTTCCGTACACTTGCCGACATCGCTTCCAAGAAACTTCTTCTTGGCCTCCTGTCGGCGCTTCCTCCCACCAACAGACTCACCTGCACCCACCTGCCTGTACTGCACCAAGAGCAAGCTCAGGCAGCAGCCGCACCCTTCCTCCCATCCATCGCAGCTGCTCCGCTGGACCTAGTGCACATGGATGTGTGGGGCCCAGCTCCAGTCGCATCTCGAGGCGGTCATCGGTACTTTCTTACACTAGTCGATGACCACTCGCGGTATGTTTCTGTGCACCTCCTGCATACCAAGGCGGAGGCACCTGATGTCATCATGGCGTGGGTGCGCCAGGCTCAAGTCACGTTCGGCACTCCTCTGAAGTGCCTCCATTCGAATGGCGGGGGGAGAATTTCGCAATGGCAAACTCGATAACTTCTGTGCGGCCCAAGGGATTCGGCAAACCTTCACGCTCCCCGAAAGCCCGCAGCAGAACGGCATTGCAGAGAGTCGCAACCACACCTTGGTTCAGATCGCTCGCTGCCTCCTCAGTCACGCCAACGCACCACGGTCACTCTGGGGATATGCCCTCTTCCATGCGGCACTCCTCTACAATCTTTATCTGCATCCCCACCGGCCTGACACCTCACCTACCGCTCTTTGGCTTGGGGTCACGCCTTCCGCCCGCTCTCTACGCGTCTGGGGGTGTACCGCGTATGTGTTGCTAAGCCCCCACACGCGCAGGAAGCAAGGTGGCAAGCTTGGTCCCAAAACCCAGACCTGCATGTACCTGGGGCACAATTCCGACTCCCCAGACTACTTATTCCTCAACCCAATCACCAGACAGCTGATTCACAGCCGTGATGTTGTCTTCGATGAGACACACCCATTCCACTCTGCGACCACGGGCGAGCCTCCTCCACCTCCCCCGACGCTTGTTTGGGCAGACTTCGATGCCCCACCTCCGGCCGCTGCCCCTTCTCCGGGACCTTCTCCGTCCGGCGTGTCTCACCCGGCCTCCCCAGTATCCTCCACAGCGGCACCTCTTCCTGCTCCGCCTTCCCTGCGCGTCGAGCCCGGCTCACCAGTCTCCTATCGGAGGCGCCCCAGTCCCTTCGGTCCCACCGCAGCCGCCTTCGTCTCCGGTCTCTAGTCGCACTCGTTCCAAGGGACGGGCTCCGCCTCTCGCCGGGGGACCAGCCGCCTTCTCCATCCGGTGTTCGGTCACCCCGCCTCCTCCTGCAGGGGGTGATGTCCCCTCCATCCGTATTCCCCCCCGTGCACTTCTGGAGGACAGGCATGAGGAGTTGTTTGACCTTCACGCGGTCTGCCAATTTCTCTCTCACATCTTCCCGGACATTACTGACTACCCTTCCCTCAACTTCACCGAGAACCCGACCATTTCGACTCCTCGCACAAAAGAGGAAGCTCTCTCGGGGCCTTATAAGAAGGAGTGGAAGGCAGCAATGGATGTGGAGAATGAGGCGTTCATTCGCAACAACAGCTTTGACGATGTTGTTCCCCCTTCCGGTGTCAACATCGTCGGCGGAAAATGGATCTTCCGAGTCAAACAACTCCCAAGTGAAGCTCCACTGTTCAAGGCACGATACGTGGCGAAGGTTTCACCCAGAAGGAGTATCTCGACTTCTTCGAAACATTCTCGCCCACGGCCAAGCTCCCCAATGTTCGCGCTCTTCTTGATATAGCCGCTCGCGGCAACTTCAAGATCAAGTCCATGGATGCCTCCTCCGCCTTTCTCCAAGGCCAGCTCAAGGAAGATGTTCACATGGAACGCCCACCGGGGTTTCCTGGCACTTACCCTGCCAACACAGTGTGGAAGCTGAAGCGCCAAGTGTATGGCCTCAAGCAGGCTCCTCGTGAGTGGCACAACAAGTCATTGGTCTGCAGCCAAGAGGGTCCTCCGCTATCTACAAGCCACCAAGTCTCACATCCTCACTCTTGGTGGTACCTCTCCAGTCAAGCTCGAGGGATACACAGACTCCTCATGGGCCGATGACCAGACTGACAGACGCTCTTTCCAAGGGTGCTGCTTCACCCTTGGTAGCGCAGTCATCAGCAGGCGCTCCACTCGGTCCTCTGCAGTCTCCCTGTCGTCCTGTGAGGCCGAGCTCTACGCGGGCACAATGGCTGCTCAAGAGGCACGCTGGCTCTCCTTTCTCCTCGCTGAGTTAGGCTACCCCCAGCAGTCGCCCACACTGTGGTGTCACAACCAGAGTGCCATTCACCTCAACAAGGATCCTGTGTTCCACTCTCGCACCAAGCACATCGAACTTTGTCATTTCTTCATCCGAGATCTTGTTCAGAGTGATCCGCTGACGGTACGGTACATCGCCTCAGATTGCAACCTCGCCGACCTCTTTACCAAGGCTCTCGGCAAGGCTGACCACCATCGCTTTCTCCGTTCCATGGGGCTATGTGCTCCTTGACCGGGTTTGCAGTCTATGGGGGTGTGTTAGAAATAGACTACAAATACCACTTTTGTATTTGTACTTTTATATCCTAGTTTAGGTTATGAATGTTTTGGTGGGTTGGGGTGTACTCACAAATCCCAACCTCACCCAATAGTGATCCCCCCAATCTCCAATTACCCAATTGGAGATTCAGGAGATCCCAATGGGGATTCCCTCCAATTCCCCCTTCATCCATTCACTCTCACCTTGCCATGTACTTATAGAGCCGTGGGATCCTTACCTAATCAATCATTTCAACTCTATTTCTTACATAGATTACCTTTGAGTGATGACAACACATCGTAGACAGATGACATTTGAGTGATGGCAACACATGATCGAAAGATGACCTTTGAGTGATGGCACATCATCGACAGGGGACCTTTGAGTGCTGACAACACATCATTGACAGATGAGCTTTGAGTATAATCATCACATCATCGAGACATTACCTTTGAGTGATGACAACACATCATCGACTCATTACCTTCGACTGATGGCAACACATCATTGACAGATCACCTTTGAGTGCTGACAACACATCATCGACAGATGACCTTTGAGCGATCACAACACATCATCGACTGATGAACTTTGAGTGATGATAACGCATCATCGACTGATAACGATTGGGTGATGACAACACATCATCAACAGATGACATTGGAGTGAAAACAACACATCATCGACAGATGACCTTTGAGTTATGACATCACATCATCGAGAGATGACCTTTGAGTGATGACTACACATCATAGACACATGACCTTTGAGTTATGGCAAGACATCATCGAGAGATGAACTCTGAGTGATGACAACACATCATCGACAGATGACCTTTGAGTGATGACAATACATCATCGAGAGATGACCTTTGAGTGATGACAACACATTATCGACACATGACCTTTGAGTGATGACAACACATCATCGACAGATGACCTTTGAGTGATGACAACACATCATAGACAAAAGACCTTTGAGTCATGACAACCATTCATCGAGAGATGATCTTTGAGTGATAACAACACATCATCGATTGATGACCATCGAGTGCTGAGAACACATCATCGAGAGATGACCGATGAGTGATGACAACACATCATCAACAGATGACCTTTGAGTGATGACAACACATCATCGACTGATGACCTTTGAGTGCTGACAACACATCATCGACTGATGAACTTTGAGTGCTGATAACGCATCATCGACTGATAACGATTGGGTGATGACAACACATCATCAACAGATGACATTGGAGTGAAAACAACACATCATCGACAGAAGACCTTTGAGTTATGACATCACATCATCGAGAGATGACCTTTGAGTGACGACTACTCATCATAGACACATGACCTTTGAGTGATGACAAGACATGATCGACAGATGACCTTTGAGTGCTGACAACACATCATTGACAGATGACCTTTGAGTGATGACAACACATCATTGACAGATGACCTTCGAGCGATGACAACACATCATCGACCGATGAACTTTGAGTGTTGACAACACATCATTGACTGATGACCATTGAGTGATGACAACACATCATTGACAGATGGCCTTTGAGTGAAAACAACACATCATCGTCAGATGACAATTGAGTTATGACAACACATCATAGACAGATCACCTTTGAGTGATGGCAACACATCATTGCCAGATGAACTCTGAGTGATGACAACACATTATCGAAATATGACGTTTGAGTGATGACTTCATAGACAGATGAACTTTGAGTGATGACAACACATGATCGACACATGACCTTTGAGTGATGACAACACATCTTCGACATGTGACCTTTGAGTGATGACAACACATCATACACAGATGACCTTTGAGTCATGAAAACACATCATTGAGAGATGACCTTTGAGTGATAACAACACATCATCAACTGATGTCCATTGAGTGTTGACAACACATCATCGACTGATAACCTTTGAGTGATGATAACACATCATCGACAGCTTAACTTTGAGTGATGACAACACATCATAGACAGATGACCATTGAGTGATGACAACACATCATAGACGGATGACCTTTGAGTGCTGACAACACATCATTGACATATGATCGTTGAGTGATGACAACACATCCTCGAAAGATTACCTCTGAGTGATGACAACACATCATCGATAAATGACCTTTAAGTGATGACAACACATCTTAGATAGATGACCTTTGAGTGCAGACAACACATAATTGACAGATGACCTTTGAGTGATGACAACACATCGTAGACATATGCCTTTTGAGTGATGATAACACATCGTAGACAGATGACATTCGAGTGATGACAACACATCACCGCAGAAGGAGCAGCAGCAGCAGCAGCAGCAGCAGCAGCAGCAGCAGCAGCAGCAGCAACAGCAGCAGCAGCAGGTGCAGCAGCAGCAGTGGATGGAGCAGCAGCAGCAGCAGCAGCAGCAGCAGCAGCAGCAGCAGCAGCAGCAGCAGCAGCAGCAGCAGCAGCAGCAGCAGCAGCAGCAGCAGCAGGAGGTGCAGCAGCGGATGGAGCAGCAGCAGCAGCAGCAGCAGCAACCGCAGGCAGTGCAGCAACAGCAGCCGCAGCAGGAGGTGCAGCAGCAGCACCAGCAGCAGCCACAGCAGCAGCAGCAGCAGCAGCAGCAGCAGCAGCAGCCACTACAGCAACCTCATCGGCATCGCCGCACCACCTCTTCGTTCATCCTCCCACGCATCCACACTCGCTCTCACGGCCCACTCATAGGCCATCCATGGGGTTGGCCAACGCCACCCCCACCCTCCCTTCCCTTCATTGAGGACTCCCATGAGGAGCTCATTGGCGTTCAGCAACAAACACCTTCCCTCACGCCTCTCTACCCGGGCTTCCTTGGCCTCCTCATCCTTGGCATCGCTACCGCTCCCACCAGATTCACTCCGTCCAACTTCCTTGAGGCCATCACCTGCCCCGATGCTGCCAAGTGGATCCAGGCTATCTTTGCTGAATGCGAGGCCTTCGTCCGCAATGCCTCATTCGTTAACATTGTCCCCTCTCCTGTCGACGTCATTGTTGAAGGCCTGTGGGTGTTCCGAGTGAAGCAGTTGCCGGGTGAGGAGCCGGTCTACAAGGCCCGGTATTGTGCCAAGGGCTTCACCCAAACCCATGGCATCGACTACTGGGAGACATTCTCTCCCACTGCCAAGCTCCCAACTCTCCGTGCCATCCTCAACTATGCTGTTCGCATTGGCATGGAGATTGCCTCCATGGATGTCTCCAATGCCTTCCTGCAAGGCGAGCTCCAGGAGCGGGTCCTCTTGCGGCGGCCTCCAGGCTTTCATGCAGCCTTCCCTGCCAACACAGTCTGGGAGCTGCGCCGCCCGGTTTATGGCCTCAAGCAGGCTCCTCGCGAGTGGCACAACAAGCTGGCCGCCACTCTGCAGTCCTTGGGGTTCCATGCCTCTCAGTCTGATGCCAGCCTTTTCCTTCGCTCCTCTCCCACCCGCTTCTTCATCCTGGTGTATGTCGACGACATGATCCTGTTCGCTGACGATGCTGCTGCCATGCAGCAAGTGAAGGACGCCCTGCATGCACGCCTCAAGTGCAAGGACCTGGGTGAGCTCAAGCACTATCTGGGCATGACCATCACCCGGGACCGCACATCGCGCACCATTACCCTCTCTCAGTCCTTCTACATCGACCAAGTCTTGCAGCGGTTCGACATGGCGCAGGCCAAGCCGGTTACCACTCCCCTGCAGACCGACCACCAGCTTGCCCCTCCTCCTGCTCCCTCCTCCTCTGACCATCCTTACGCTGAGCTCGTCGGCTCGCTGATGTACGCTATGATGTGCACCCGCCCCGACCTTGCCTACCCCATCAGTGTTCTTGCTCGATTCGTCGGTACCGGTCGCCACACTGATGAGCACTGGGCTGCAGCGAAGCGGGTCCTCCGCTACCTCCGTGGTACCAAGGACTATGTCCTCACCCTCGGAGGCTCTTCTCCTCCCCTCCTCTCTGGCTTCAGTGACTCCTCCTGGGCTGACTCCCAGCCGGATCGCCGCTCCTCTCAAGGCTACGGCTTCACCCTTGGCAGCGGCCTCATCAGCTGGCGCTCCACTCGCTCCTCCTCCATCGCCCTCTCATCCTGCGAGGCTGAGCTCTATGCTTGCACCATGGCCGCTCAGGAGGCTCGCTGGCTCACCTTCCTCCTTGCTGAGATCGGTGCTCCTCAGCGCTGTCCCACCCTCTGGTGCGACAACGCCAGCACCATCCATCTCACAAAGGACCCTGTCTTCCATGGCCGCTCTAAGCACATTGAACTCCGCTACTTCTTCGTTCGAGAGTTGGTCCAGCAAGGTCACTTGGTGGTCCGCAAGATCGCTGCAGAGGCCAACTTGGCCGACATCTTCACCACGGCCCTCCCGAAGACCGCGCACTCTGCCCTTCTCCGCCTTCTCGGCCTTGGGCCCCGCCCCCCTTCCTGATTCTGGGGTTGTCCATTCTATATACACTAGCTTTGCATGCTATGGGGTTGTGTTAGAATATACCATGCTATGCTAGTTGTGTATATTGTGTTTACATCCCTAGTTGGGTGTACACCTGTGTTGGGGTGTCAATCCAACCCAATTGTGGTTGGAGCCCCCAAACACAAGGACCACAATTGTGGGGGCACCACAAGTGGGTTGGCTAAACCACTGGTGGTACACCACACTTGGACCACCTCCAACTGGTGGTCAACCACATTTGGAAGGATCCTCCCTCCCTTGTGATTGGTCCTAACCCCCCTTTCCCTTCCAACCTTCCCTTCCTAGCTCATCTCTCTCTTCCTATGTAATGACTTTGCTTCATCAATAAACTGAACCTTTCTGTTTCTAACAAACACATCATCGACATATGACGTTTGAGTGATGACTTCATAGACAGATGACCTTTGAGTGATGACAACACATCATCGACCCATGATCTTTGAGTGATGACAACACATCATCAACTGAAAACCATTGAGTGATGACAACACATCACCGACAGATGACCGATAAGTGAAGACAACACATCATTAACAGATGACCTTTGAGTGATGACAACACATCATCAAGTGATGACCTTTGAGTGATGAAAACACATCATAGACAGATGACCGATGAGTGATGACAACACATCATCTACAGATGACCTTTGAGTGATTACGATACATCATTGACAGATGACCTTTGAGTGATGAGAACACATATTCGACAGCTGACCTTTGAGTGATGACAACACATTATAGACAGATGACCTTTGAGTGATGAGAATCCATCATAGACAGATGACCTTTGAATGATGACAACACATCATAGACAGATGACCTTCGAGTCATGACAACACATCATCGACAGATAACCGATAGGTGATGACAACACATCATGGACAGATGACCTTTGAGTTATGACAACACATGATCGACAGATGACCGTTGAGTGATGGCGACACATCATCGACAGATGAACTCTGAGTGATGACAATACATCTTAGATAGATTACCTTTGAGTGATGACAACACATCATCCACACATTGCCTTTGTGTGATGACAACACATCATCGAGAGATGACTTTTGAGTGATGACAACACATCATCGATAGATGAACTTTGAGTGATGACAACACATCATAGACAGATGACTTTGAGTCATGACAACACATCATCGAGAGATGACCTTTGAGTGATAACAGCATATCATCGACTGATGTCCATTGAGGGCTGAGAACACATCATCGACAGATGACCGATAAGTGATGACAACACATCATCAACAGATGACCTTTGAGTGATGACAACACATCATCGACTGATGACCTTTGAGTGCTGACAACACATCATCGACTGATGACCTTTGAGTTCTGACAACACATCATTGACTGATGATCATTCAGTGATGAAAACACATCATCGACTGATGACCGATGAGTGATGGCAACACATCATCGAAAGATAACCGATAAGTGATGACAACACAACATCGAGAGATGACCTTTGAGTGATGACAACACATCATCGACTGATGACCTTTGAGTGCTGACAACACATTATTGACAGATGACCTTTGAGTGATGACGACTCATCATCGACAGATGACCTTTGAGTGATGACAAGACATGATCGACAGATGGCCTGCGAGTGCTGACAACACATCATCGAAAAATGACCTTTGAGTGCTGACAACTCATCATTGACTGATGACATTTGAGTGCTGACAAAACATCATCGACAGATGACCTTTGAGTGATGACAACACATCCTTGACAGATGACCTTTGAGTGATGACAACACATCATAGACAGATGATCTTTGAGTGATGGCAACACATCATCAACAGATAATCGATAAGTGATCACAACACATCATCGAGAGATGACCTTTGAGTAATCACAACACATTATCGACAGATGACCTTTGAGTGATGACAACACATCATCGACACATGACCTTTGAGTGATGATAACACATCATTGACAGATGACCTTTGAGTCATTACAATACATCATCGAGAGATGACCTTTGAGTGAGGACAACACATCAATGACTGATGACCTTTGAGTGCTCACAACACATCATTGACTAATAACCATTGAGTGATGACAACACATCATCGACAGATGACCAATGAGTGATGACAACACATCATCAACAGATGACCTTTGAGTGCTGACAACACATCATCGACTGATGACCTTTGAGGTATTGCAACACATCATCGACAGATGACCTTTGAGTGATGACGACTCATCATCGACAGATGACCTTTGAGTGATGACAAGACATGATCAACAGATGACCTTTGAGTGATGAGAACACATCATCGACAGATGATCTTTGAGTGATGACAACACATCATCGATTAATGACCTTTGAGTGCTGACAACACATCATCGACACATGAGTGATGAGTGATGACAACACATCATCAATAGATGACCTTTGAGTAATGGCAACACATCCTCGACAGATGACCTCTGAGTGATGGCAACACATCATCGACAGATAACCGATATGTGATGACAACATATCATCGAGAGATGACCTTTGAGTGATGACAACACATTATTGACGGATGACCTTTGAGTGATGACGACTCATCATCGAGAGATGACCTTTGAGTGATGACAAGACATGATCAACAGATGACCTTTGAGTGCTGACAACACATCATCGAAAGGTGACCTTTGAGTTATGACAACACATCATCGACTGATGACATTTGAGTGGTGACAACACATCATCGAAACATGAGCGATGAGTGATGACAACACATCATCAACAGATGACTTTTGAGTGATGACAACACATCATTGACAGATGACCTCTGAGTGATGACAACACATGATAGGCAGATAATCTTTGAGTAATGGCAACACATCATCGACAGATAATCGATAGGTGATGACAACACATCATCGAGAGATGACCTTTGAGAAATGACAACACATTATTGACAGATGACCTTTGAGTTTTGACAGCACATCATCGACACATGACCGATGAGTGATGACAACACATCATCGACAGATGACCTTTGAGTGCTGACGACTCATCATCGACAGATGACCTTTGAGTGATGACAAGACATGATCAACTGATGACCTTTGAGTGATGAGAACACATCATCGACAGATGACCTTTGAGTAATGACAACACATCATCGGCTGATGACCTTTTAGTGCTGACAACACATCATCGACAGATGAGCGATGAGTGATGACAACACATCATCAACAGATGACCTTTAAATGATGACACCACATCCTCGACAAATGA